GTGGAGGCTCCAGGGGAGGGTCCCTCCTGCCTCTTTCAGCTTCTGGGGCTCCAGGCGTCCCTGGGCTGGTGGCCGCCTCTCTCCCGTCTCTGCCTCCATCCTCATGTGGCTTCTCCTCTGTGTCTATGTGTCCTCTTCTGTCTCTGATTAGGACACTGTCCTTGGATTTAGGGCCATCTCCTCCAGGACGCCCTCATCTCCATCCTTCCCTTCATCACATCTGCAAAGACCCTATTTCTGAATAAGGTCACATTCACAGGTCCCAGGGGTTAGGGATTGAACATATCTTTTTGCGGGAACACAATTCAACCCAGAACAAGTGGGAGGAGAGTTAGAATGACCCAAAGTGAGCCAGGCCAGCTGTGGGGTGTCCCTGTTCCAGCGCAGAGGTTGAGCGGGGCCCAGATGCAAGGTGTCGGCTTTCTGGCATTTTGGACCATTAGTGCATCTTCTCTTCAGAACATGCAGAGGTGAGAAGGGAAGAGACCAGAGCAGGAGGCAGATCTAAGGATGTGGCCTCCCTTTCACTTCTGTCATTCCTCCCCGTGGTCCAGGGACCCCAAAATAAAAGCCTGAGTTGTCTATATTCTTTTTCCTTCTGCAACCACTTGGCCTTCCACACTGTTCTCATTGTTTTCCTTCCATATGGACTTTTCCGAACTGTTTTAAGTTCTAGCAAACTTAAAAGATGTATAACCCCTGCAAACTTAAATGTGAGTTTCTCCCATTTACATGGGCTTCTTTTGCCTTACGGACTTTCGAAAAATAAGGGGGGCGCTCCCATGCCTGCGAGTCTGGAGGGCAAGCACTTTCCCGTCCCCCTGTGAGCTCTCTCTCCTCAGGAGGCTTTGTGGGGTTGTTGGGCTGAGGAAGAGGGGAGGCCAGTCTCCCGACCATGAGAACTGCGTCTTTTGCACTTTCTCACAGCTCACTCTGTGGTGGTTTTTTTTCCCCCAGTTTTGACTTCTGAGAAAAGAAGGACCTTCTAGAGGTTCCATGTTGTGGCCACGGTGATCCCGTCACCGTACTAGTTCTGTGGGGTTGTCTGAATGCATAGTGGGAAGGCGCTCGGTTTTCAGTGACTGTAATGTGTGCCTCTGTGTACAGTTGTGCATGTCTGTCTTTAGAAGGACATCAGCACACGCTGTGGCATTTCTCTGGGTGGGTTGGAGTTCAACCATGTCTCGCCAGCTATTTGGAGGGAGGAGGTCTTATTTCTCGTCCCCAGCACCCGAGACGGAAAGCCTGCGTGAGTTTGTATGTGACTCTGATGTGAGAGTTTGGGAGGACGGATGTGGGGGAGAAAGAGGGCAAGAGGGATGGGAGAGGATGCAGACAAAGTGGAGAAAATGGCAAACCTTTGAAAAAGATGAAGACCCCTCCCCCAGGGAGAGGGGAGACCTGTGTCTGTCCCACTCCAGCATTTCAAGACCGGAATCGCAAGACACAGGATGGCCCATAAATCAGAACCAACTTCCTTGTCTGGAAACTCAGCTGGAGGAACGATACCTCTTGACACGTTGGAGGAAAACCCACTGTATCGGACTGGCTGTGTGAAGGATGTGCCCGCCTTAGACGTGGCCGTCCTTCCAAAGAGATGGCCACGGGCACTTCTGACTGTCTGAAACACACGGGCCAGCTGTGCTTCGGAATTTGGAAATTTTCAGACTCCGGGACGATACTCAGGTGTGGGTGCTGGTTATCACAGGAGACCCTCAGTAGAATCTGGGCCACTTGTTTGTGTTAAGATGTGACTTTCCAGAGTGAAATAAATGGATGTTCACCCAAAAGGGAGATCAAGCCTGAATAGTTTTTTTAAGTCAGGTCCACTTTTGTGTCTGGATGAGTTTATGAAGACACTTGGGGTTTCAGAACCTCCTCAACTTAGGAATTTTAGCGAAGGGGTTGAGGAACCCATACTTGATTTTCACCTTAAAGCTTTAGCTGTAGGAATAACCTCCATGTAAGATATGAATCCTGAGTAATTCCTTCTCTCTGCCTCACACGACTCCCCAGCCCAGAGTGGGAGAGAGGGGGTTGCCTGGCTGGGGAGAGCAAGTGTTTCCCTTGAGCATCTGAGGAAAAATCTGGCCTAAAAACACTTGAAAAGACTGCTTTTTTTAAAAAAGTGTTTTTCCAGTTTTATTGAGATATAATTGACATATTACATTCTATTACTTTGAGGGGTACAACATAATTCAATATACGTAGGTATTGCAAAATGATCACCACAATAATTCTAGTTAACATCCATCACCATGCATAGTTATAAATTTTTTTTTTTCTTGTCATGAAAACATTTCAGATCTACTCTCTTAGCAACTTTCAAATACGCAATACAGTATCGTTAACTATAGTTGCCTTGCTGTACCATACATCTCCAGGCCTTATTTATCCTACAACTGGAAGTTTGTATCTTTTGACACCCTTCACCATTTCACCCACCCCCAACCTCTGGTAACCACCAGTTTGTTTTCTGTATCTATGAGTTTGATCATTTTAGATTCCACGCGTGAGATCATACAGTGTTTGTCTTTCTCCACCTGGGTTTACTTAACATAATGGCTTCAAAGTCCATCAGTGTTGTTGCAAATGAAAAAGACTCTTCTTTATGTCATACCGGGCAGACATGGGTCATATGGCCATCCTTACCTGCAGCAAAGCCAACAAAAGGATTCTTCTCCATTGTAAAGCAAGCTATTGAGAGCTGGGCATGCATATTGGACAGCCTGCCAACACCCAGCAGGAAAAGGTTAATTTGCCTTTTTTCTTTCCATGGCAATAATGACTCACTACCAACACCGTTCATGGTGTCTTTGTCTTTGGTGCACTGAAGCTGATCTCCTGAAGAATTACAGCCAGTCGGTTTTGTCTGCCTTGAGCAAGGCTCTTTACCTAGGTAGACCTGTGATCTGGTTGTGGCGTTGAGGGAGCGCCCACATCTCCCAGGGTAATGCAGGCGTCTGATGCGGTGCACAGGTCACCCGTCCTGAGTTCTGTGTGTTTAAACCTCACTCAGCTCAGAGAAAGCTTGAAGGGCGTTGCAGACAGAAATAAAAAAACCTGTTGAGTCATAGCTGTGTTACCTTTCGTGTAGGCATAGAGAACTCTCAGTTGAGTGTCAAAATAAGTGCTGAAAAGACAAAATATTATCTAGTAAATATCTAGTAAATACAATTGAGTAAAGGATGGGCTCCTCATGGTGGGCAGTAGAGAGAGATGATTAAGAAGAACGGGACCAGAGAGAGGCAAAAAGATCAAGGAACACAGCCTTCTTTTCATTATCAGAATCTTAGAGTGTGGCAAGACTTTTATATGTTCCATAGGAATCTACCTGTCCTATTGCAGAGATGAACAATATGAGGCCAAAAAGGGTTAAATTTGTTTCCCTGAGTTCATAGATCAAATCAGATGCAAATTGTGGCCTAGATGCCACTGTTCCTGATTCCCACTTGCATGCACTTTATCCAGTGGAAACATCAATGTCCACATAAAAACTCCACAGCTGTATCTGTTTACTTTCCTCAAAACCTTTTCCCTTCATGCCTCTCTCTTTTGACCTGATTCCACATAATTTTATCAACATATATTGCCTTACACTAATAAAATTCTATTTTTACTTGCAGATTATCTTTTGATGAGACCATGCTTTAAAAATGTCTCACCACTCTTCATTTGCTTCTTCTTGCAAAGCAGTTTCTTTTCTTGTGTTGGTGGATCCTTCCCTACTGCTATATAAAATATTTATTGTCGGAAACTTCATTTAAAAACTAAGGTTACTTATCGTGCCCACCTCCACTCCATCAGCTAGTAGATTTATTGTACAGCTCAAGAATTTTAATCAACGGAAAATGCTAAAAAAATCACATTGCTTAAGTATAACTTTGTGCTTCTTTTCATGGTGCCATGTGCAATAAATGGCATTCCAAACTCTGTGCAAGGGAAAAAAGGAACTCCGTTGTTGTGTTGTTGCATTGGAGGTCTTTTTCCTTCTCAAGTGGTCCTTGAATTCCGTCTCCTTTCTTATCAGGTTGACTGCCGGTTCTCCAGCCAGAGAGCCCTGTCAGTCGACCATTTTCTGCATCTTTCTCCTTGTGAAGAAGACCCCTTCCTCTGCATATTTGCTAGCCAGACAGTCACAGAAAACACAGCCAGCATTGCTGACCTTCCTGAGTGCTAGGCTCGCACATACAGATTTCCATGTTTCTGCCTCCAACTTTACCTCTCCCCTGGGCATAGACAAATAAAATTCCTTTGTAACTTTGATGTTCTAGTTGCATGCAGTGGTTCCCAGCTTGTGTGATGGGTGGAAGGGGTGCACTAAACCCCAGAGTGAGGCTCAGAAGATGGGAGGGGCTGGAAGTAGACAGAGGAGGAGGAGGAGTCATTTGGGTTGAAAATCTTCCAAAGAGGGTTTGATTTCCTTTTGTATTCATAGTGGTTGCAGTGTTTTAAATTTCCCCCTCTTTCTATTCACCCATCACTTTTTTCCAATCCACTCAAATCTTGCCGACTAAGTAGCACATAGCAGGTGTCAGTGTGTTAAGGAGCCTTTGTGAGAGGCTCATGTTCCTCATTCTCCTGTCTTTATCTAGAAAGCCTGAAGAGAAAAAGAACTGTGGAAGGAATGCATTTACCATATTTTCCCATTCCAGCTCTCTTTGTGTGCGTGTGCTTGTGCGTGCATGGTTCTGTGCTCTGGGATGGCTCATTTGCAGAAACGATGGCCCGCTTTCCCTCCAATTAAAGGATACATTGGAGACAGGTGATCCTGTCTGGCTGTGTGTGTGTGTGTGTGTGTGTGTGTGTGTGTCTGGCTGTGTGTGTGTGTGTGTGTGTGTGTGTGTGTGTGTGTGTGTATAACAGGTGCATTCAATTGAGAATTCCAGCCCCGAACTCCTCAGCAAACACTCACCAGCCATATCCTAGGGTGTTGAGTTCCTAAAGCCTGTGATTCCCTTCAGGTCCCCATACAGCCCCATTTGCTCTTCCCCCTGCAGGCACGGGGACCTTCGGGCGCGTGCAGCTGGTCAAGGAGAAGAAAGCCAAGCATTTCTTCGCACTGAAGGTCATGAGCATCCCTGACGTCATCCGCCTGAAGCAGGAGCAGCATGTGCACAACGAGAAGTCGGTGCTGAAGGAAGTCAGCCATCCGTTCCTGGTCAAGCTGTGAGTCCGCCTCCAGGGTCTCTCCTGTGTCCCTCTGTTGGTCCTCACCCTCCCTGGGACCCGCGGTGTGCTGGAATGAGGCCCCCGCGTGTGTGCATGCGAAGTCTCGGACCAGGGTGATAACCCTTCTGAGCTATCTCGGCTTCTGATCTTGCAGATGTGGTTCTGCAAGGGCTGCTGAACATCAGCCTGGCCAGGTCCACAGACAAAGGCTCTGTTTCTACAACTGCCTGTCCCAGGACCTTGCTCGCCTGGCTAATATCTGCAGGGGCATGGGTGGCCCTGCCAAGGCTCTCTTCCCCCTCCTCCAGTCAAGGTCAGCTTCACCAGCTCCCTGCAGAGCCAGTTCAGTTGGGTTTTCAGGGACCTCCACCACCTGCTCAGCTTCATCCCCTCAGGTGGTTCCATGAGTTTTTAGCTGACTAGTAGGTTTCTCCATCTAGATGCTCCACAGATGCTTCCAGTTGAGGATGCCCAACATTGCTCCGGGCCATTTGCCCAGGTAGGGTAAGACCATTTCCCACCCGAGTGCCAGAGATGTGGATGTCCAGAGATAGGTCTCTTCCCATGCATGGATGCCTTCCATCCAGTTCATCCGCCACCCTTCTCACCCTCCCCCTCAGGGCCTCCCACACAGCCCCTGCCTGATCGGAGCTCCCTCTCTCTGCCCTGCCTTTCTGCACTGGCCTCCCAACCATTCTTCCCCTCCCAGCCTCGCTTCCCTTTACCGTATCCCTTTTTCACTTTGCCACCATGCTGGTCCTCCCCACAAACCTCTCTGGTGATCTGCGTGTCTACTGACAAATGCACGGGGGCTTTCTGAGGTGCCCAGGATAAAGCCCCAGCCACAAAGCCCTAGAAAGGGCTCATCATGTGCTCTGGCTTTCCCTCTGGATTTTTCTCTTTCCCTCCATCGTCTGATCATGGAAAGCCAGCCACAGTAGAAGGTGAGAGTTGCCGTCCATGTCATCACTCCAGGGCCACTGTCCCGTGCAGTGCCTCCTTCCTCTTTGTTTCCTCATCCCTCACCCATCCCATCTGACCAATACCTGCCATTCTTCTCTGACACACCTCCCTGCCTGCCTACAGTCTTGAAGCATTTTGTGTGTCCCCTGGAGCAGGGAAGTTCATCTCTATACTCAAAGCCACCGGAGCAACATCCCCCAGTCCAAAACGGCATCTTACCCAGAGTAGGGATGGATTGCATGTTTCATGAGGAAGAGAAAGGAAGTGGTTGACCTTTTGTTTCACGTTCCTTCCGTGGCACTAAAAGGATCTTGTGCTGATATGGAGGTGTTGATAGAGTCCCATGCTTTCGAGTCATGGAAACAAAAGTAGCTGGCGCGTTGGGGTGTCACCACCCCTCACTCATCAGTCCTGAGTCTCTACTCGGCCAGCAGGGGAACAACGGGTAGAAGACTAATGTGTGTAGATCTTCCTCTGGAATGAAGAGAAGCTTCTAGTTATTTCTTCTCTTCTATGACCTAAAATGGGGATTATGGGGGAAGGAGTTTAGCTAGTGAGGGTTTTAAATAAATATTTTCCAAAGGAGATGTGGACTCCTTTAGAATATTGCCAATTTGTTCTCACGCGATTTAGGCAAATGGTCTTGGGCTTTTACCAAACACAGGACATCTCAAACCAGAAACACAGGTGTGTCCCCGAGGCTGCTTTTTAGCTGAATTTTCCACGAAGACAGTGCACCAGGCAGCCAGATTCTGGTTTGCCTCTGAAAACCAAGTGGCATGATCCTTTATGTGTTTGCAGTGAAGTTAGGAGAATGCAAAATCGAAGCAAACAGAGTTGCTGGTCAAAACAAAAAGTCTTAGACATCTTTGTTGAGCAGACACAAGTTTTGAGAAGAGTGAAGAAGCCAGTGGGAGGACGTCTCTGCAGGACCAAGAGTGGGACTTGGGGAGGCTGCCGTGTCCATTTCACCTCACCGCATCTTTTCTGGGGTGCAGGCATGTCTCATGTGTATCATTAGGGTGATGTTGTAGGGTATACATGGAATCTTGGGTGAGGACTTCCAATTCTGGGAATTCCACCTTGTTGGGGGGGATGAATGATGTCTCCCACAAAAGATAATGTTGAAGTCCTCACCCATAGTACCTGTGAATGTGACCTTAGTTGGAAATCAGGTCTTTGCAGATGTAATTCAGATGTAAGTTGAGGTGCTAGAGGAGTAAGGTGGGTTCTTCATCCAATATGATGGATGTCCCTATAAGAAGAGGAGAAGAGACACAAAGACAGACACACACAGGGAGGCGAAGGCCATGTGAAGGTACACAGACACAGAGGAGAAGCCACATGAAGACAGAGGCGGAGATGGAAGGGATGCGGCCACCAGCCCAGGGACACCTGGAGCCCCAGAAGCTGGAAGAGGCAGGAAGGACCCTACCCTGGAGCCTCTGGAAGGAGCGCAGCTCTGCAACACCTTGATGTTGGACTTCTGGTCTCCAGAACTGGGAGAGAATGACTTTCTGTTGTCTTAAGCAGCCTAGTCTATGATGCTTTGTCACTGCCATCCTAGGAGACTTCAGCATACGTTCTCACCCCCTAGAGTGGGGAACAAGCCTACATAATGGGCTCTGTAGATGCTTTACAGTCCAGAAATCTCAAATCCTAAGAAAGAGCCCCATGAATGTGGGGCTAGGTAGAGTGGACAAGTCAAAGTTCCTGGGATGGTATCCTTGAGGTTTTAGAAGTGAAAAATGGAGAGGGGAAAGGAGGAGCTTGCAAAACAGAGCTTCAGTCACGTGAGTCTGCTTTCTTCACTCCTGGACAGCCAGCCAACAGTTTTCCTTATCATGTGTGGTGGATTCCCAATTCCCCATGGGGACTTAGATTCTGTATTTGTGTATTTGGCTGTCCTTGGTTTTCAGTTAAGTACCTAAGTTGTTTATATCACACAGTCTGTGTGTTCTAGTTTCGGTGGAATGGAATTGGACCCAAATTATCCAAATTGGTTCATTTTTCTCTTTCAAGGAGTGAGATTTCCCTGCACCCTGTTAGCTCCGTAATCTGACTGTTGGATGCTACATTGATTTTCCTGTTGCCAGAACGGCTCACGGGGTGCAGGTCACAGTCCAGTGTAGTCTTTTTATACTTTATGTTCAATGGGGGGTGTGGCTGGGAGGCAGGATCTCGTCATTTAATCCATGTGGAATTTAAGGAACATTTAGATAGTCTTCTCAGGGAGATTATATTCATAAGTTATGGGAAATTGTGTTTGGCGCTCATTTAAGATCTCTCTGTGGCTTTTGATCAATATGTGTTTCCCCACCACACTGAGATGGCACATAGGGCATGCTCTGGCCTCCACGGTTCTCAAGAAATGATCACCAGTGGGTCCTTTGAAGACTTAGGGATATGAATTTCCAGGTGGCCTTTATCCACAAATTATGAAGATGAGTTGCCCACTCTATTACTGTTCTTGAGCGGCCTTAACAAAGGACCACAGACCAGACAGCTTAAGCAACAGACAATTATTTCTCCCAGTCCTGGAGGCTGGAAGTCTGAGGTCCAGGTGTGGGCAGGGCTGGTTCCTCCTGAGGCCTCTCTCCTTGGCGTGTAGATGCGTCTTCTCCCCGTGTCCTCACATGGTCGTCCCTCTGCATGTGTCTGTATCCTCGTCTCCTCTTCTTACAAGGACCCCAGTGCTGTTGGATTAGAACCCACCCTAGTGACCTCATTTTACCTTCATCACCTCCTTAAAGACCCTATCTTCAAACACAGCCACATAATGAAGTCCTGGGGGTTAGGACTTGAACTTGTGAATTTCAGGGGGATGCAGTTGAGCCTATAACACTTACTTAGTGGCTTGCTAAGAAGAATAGATCTCTGAGTGCATAGGGGACTTATTATAATATACTTGTAGCATTTGGGTTTTTTTGTACATTATCACTTGAGGGACCAAGTGTGCTTAAAAATTGGGTTTAAAGTTGCCCTAGTTTGGCCAGCTCTTGAAGTTCCCCATACATGGCACAGGAGAGCATGCTGTATCTGGCCAGCCCTGTGCACGGGAGCCGGAAGGTGTCTAGGACCATGTGATGAGGGGTGCGTTTTAGTGGGAAAACGCCAGTAGTGAAGACTGGATTTAGTCCCTCCAGCTGTGCAGTTTCTCTTGTAAATGAGAGTTGCCCCACCTAACCTCTGCTTTCTGTACTCTCCGGAAACACTGAGCACATTTTGCTTGCATTTATTGAAACCACGTGGAATGCTGATGTTGCCAGGTATCAAGCTGAACCAAGACTGGAGTTGGAAGTTCCACTTGAGTGATTTGGCAAGTTCCCCAGTGCCATTATCAAAGTTCAGGCTTTGCCCTGCCCCTGATGGTATTGTTGACAGTATGCCAGGGCCTTCATTAAATGCACATTAGAGAACGCATTCTGTGCACTGATAATGTCATGTCGAAAGGCCAGCTCTGCCAGTGGAGAGAGAATTTTACAAGAGCTGAGTAACTCACTGTCTGGGGTGGAGAAGATAGAAAGGAAGAAGGAGTTGCTGTGTGCCCAAAGATCATGATTTCCTGTCTTCTCCTCACCCTTTATGCATGTGGAAATTGCTGATCTTAGGGTTGTTTGGATCCAGAACAGGGGTTTTCAGCCTCAGCACTGTTCACATCTGGGGCAGCTAATTCTCTGTGGTGAGGGCTGTTCTGTGTAGGGTAGGATGTTGAACAGCATCCACTGTCTCCACCCACTCAATGCCAGAAGCACCCCCTCCCCAATGACGACAGCCCAAAATGTCTCTAGACAGTGTCAGAAATCTCCTGAGGAGGGAAATCGTCCTCGATTCCAAACCACTGCCAGAAAGAGAGAGCAAGAGAGATGATGATGGATAGGTAGATAGGTAAGTAGATGGATGATAGAGATAGGTAGATGGGTAGGTAGAGTGGTGGGCAGGTAGATAGATAGATATATGATTAATAGATCATAGATAAGTGATAGATGATAGGTAAGATGGTTAGATGATAGGTAGATAGATGATTCATAGAT